AGACCGCACTGGGCCCTGGGGCTATGACTTACTGCAGGGCCCTCCATCACAATAATTATATATATATATATATATATATAGGGTACAACGGGGCTAAAAGCCCACTTTAAGAAAAAATGAATTCAATGCATTCACTGCGCCTAAAATGTATAATTGCAGAAAAAATATATACGTTGTATTGAACATTAATGGAGCAACATATTTTGTGTGAAAATAAATCATTCAAGTTGCAGCGCTAATAAGTGGGGGGCGTGGTGGCTTTGGCGATCGGCGCTCCAGTCAATCTACTCCACAGCCAATCACGGGCCCCCTCCTTGCTCGGGCCCCGGGGCTTCAGCCCCGCCTAGCCCTATGGTTAAAACGGCCCTGCCTATTAATCAACATAAACAGCTGTAACTGTTTATTTTAAGAGCACATCATTATAGAGAAAGTAAGTTTGAAAATGGGAATAAAATTGTATATATCAGAGAGAATAATTTAATCTGTTTTTTTTTTCAGGACATCTGGATATCAGAGTAAAAAAAAGGATAATTGCTGAAAAGTTTCCCAATTGTAATATTAAATCTCATACTGTGACTATATTTCACCATTTCAGCTTTGATTTTGCTAAACTGCTACTCTATGTCTTACAAAGCAGACTTTATTTCTTGCATTTGAGACATTTTTCATAATTGCAACTTTGTCTTGCATGGAGACTTTGTATCTCACAGCGTAACTATATCTTGCACTTGCGAATACTTCTCGTAATTGCAACTTTATTTCCTGTAATTGTGACTTTATATCTCACAGTGTGACTTATGTTCTTATTTTAAACTTTATCTCACAATTACATTTGTTACTTTTTACTCTGAGGTGGAAAAAGGCTTCAATAGGTAGAGTTCACTATGGCATATTTGAAATACTAACTTAGTAAATAATTACTTAGAGAATAAGTGAAAACAAATAAGAAGGGAGAAGTAAAAGGGCTGAGTATGAAAGAGGAGGAGGAGAGAGGGAAAAATCGAGGAAATTTGAGTCAATAATGAGCGATATATGATGCTGTTGCTGACTCCTCATGACAAATCCAGACATGTAATGTACGTTTGGTTGCGCTGCACACACAGTATCGAGATTCTGAGATTCACTGTTTCTCCCATAAACACACACACACACACACACACACACACACATACACACACACACACACACACACACACACACACGTCTGGTTTACGATCTTTGTGGGGACTGAGAGTGTACATTGAGTGTGTGTGTTTATCTCTGACATTTTGCCCTTTTATCAATCTCCTCTCTGTAACACCTCCATGCAGACGGAGGGTCAGTCAGCCGTATCAGCACTGACAAAATAAATCTGACACAGGAATGTGTGTGTTTAAATCTGACACTGGAATGAATGAGACTCCGCCACACACAAACCCTAGAGAGAAATCCAGTCCTTACTCTAACCAGTCACAATTAGACCTCTGAGCCTACTCTTAAAAATTATACCACTGTGAAACTGAATCCTACAGCAAAAAGTACAGAGGGATAGGGTAGGATTGCACTCTTCCTTGCACGTCGTCCAGGAGTGGAGAGAAAAAAAACAGAGGGAAAAAGAAGGAGAGAGAGAAGTGGTAAAGGTTGAAGGGGAGATTTGGGTCAATGTTGGACATTTTAAAAAAAAGTTAGAAACAGAAGAAAATGAAAAACCAAACTATGAATAACAAGGAATGAAAGTAAAAAAGAAAGAAAAGAAAAGTAAAGTAAATGAAGCAAAGAAAACAAACAAAATAAGTTAAATGTCTGACAAAAAAAATGTCTGGTCTGAAATTCTGTTCATGAAATCTGTGGAAATGTTTATATTTAGTTCCTCTTTTCATGTTTGACTGAAAATTTTTCCATTTGGAGAGCACTCATCAATACTGTCAAAAAAGTGTGTATTTTTGATCTGGGTGATTTGTTTTCATCCTCCTTGTGATTTCCAACACATTGCTTGACAAATTTTTGACTTGACTATTAAACCTTCTCCCAAAATAAATTGGCAAACTTGAATGTTTTGTCAAACTGAACTCCATTTTGGCCAGAAATTTGATACACCTTCTCCCACTAACACACACACATGCAAACTCGCACACACTTGGCTTTAAGGTTCACTCCTCCACTTTAGTCAAAACAAATAACCTATGCACACAGGTGCTAACCATGCATTCAGCTCTTACATTACTCTATAACTAAAATTATTTTGGCTCTATGTCCACCTAACCAACCTAGTCTACCTTTAGGCAAAATGATCTTGGCATCTTGTGTAAGTGAACTCTACACTGAGGCACCTTGGAACTAACTGAAACTGTTCCTGTAACCGTACCTGGAAAGGAAGCGATGAACATAATTTAGCACTGATTGGGATTTGGCAAAAAATGAAACATAAAAAAAACACTAAATGAACCTCAAGAATGCACAACTGACATCAGCTCATAGCTGCCTGAGACGCGTACTGACCTCTCCACTGGTTTTGATTGTACTCTTGATAGGAAACCCAGGAGGGATTTTTCTTAAATAAGAGCACCGCAATAAGATGGATACTGATATAAATAATGAGAAATCCAACCCAAATGCCCCTGTGGACATTGATTTCCATCTAAGCCAGCTGATACACCAGGACAGTGTGTACACAACCCACCAGCAGTGTTAGACCAACTCTTCGCTGAGCCGTGTGGCGTGGCAATGAGCGCGTGTGATTGAACAGACTGGGTGGGACAGTCTCCAAGCCAATGGCCGCAAAGCTAGCAGCCATTTTAACAGTTCGCCAAAATGCTTGGTGAGGTCTGTACCCTGTAATCCTCAATCAAATCAGTGAGTAAATGAATTTTCATTGCACAATAAACCAGCAAACAATCCACAAACACTGTTCTCCAGTAGTGCAGACTACTTATCTTCTAGTTTTTTTCTCCAAGGATGGATTAGTTTCCAGCTTCTTCCCAGGGATGAAATGAAAGTTCACTCCATCCTTCTGGTTTTGTACTCCCTCCAGGGTGTGTACATTTCTCTCTTCCTGTATTCTTTGTGGTGTCCAGTTCCGGAATTACTCTCCCTCAGAAAGGAGAGAAAGGAAAGAGGTTAAGAAAGAGTACAGCGTGTTTTGCTTGTGTTGCAGATACTGATAGTCAGAGGAAGTGAGGGGGAGAGTGAGAGAAAGATTCGAGAGGAGAGAGTATTCAGAGTTTTCTGTCCATCTTTTAGAGCGGCTCTGCATCTGTATTAGTCTTTCTTACTGAAGCTATTGAATCAGAAGCATCAGACTCCAAATGTACAGACAGATTAAACTGAGCTTCTTTGAATGCACACACAAAGCAGAAAACTGGTCCATCCATCTGTGGCAGGATTTGACGGGCCCTGTTCCAAATTATAGTTATTCATGAGCATGTCTGATTGGCAGCCTGGCAGACCTATTGTGTTTGGTTTAAGCTCCGCCTTCTTGTAAATCTGTTTATGTACACTGTAATCTTGCACTGCAATGCCGCCTCCAACCAGCAGGGGGGAAGTCCGCTCAACAAGGATGAGAAATATCTCTTTCATCAACAAGTAGACTGAGAACAGACTATGCCAGAAGATATCACATTTGAAGGTCAAACATCACGTCCGATCTACTTCCCAGATTAACATTTTGTGTCAGTCTTTGTTTAGCCGAAAGGGGTGGAGACGGAGCAGACTGCTGCCCAATCCGGATAATATGTGTGCATATTATGTCACAACGTGTATGTGCCGGTTTGGAAAAGTGGCACAAGCAAGGTTGACATCTTGACTAGCTGGATTGTGGATGAAGTCTGTGGACAGCTGATGGTCTGTGCTGCAGTGCAGTCCTCTTTATCCCTTTGGTGAGATGTTGTTTCTATTTGAGAGAGAGGGGGATAATAAAAGAAAGAAGGAGTCACGGGTAAATTATTGCATACAGCCTTGTTGGTCTTTTTTGATCAGTTTGAATGATTCATGAGACTAAAAGATCAACTCAGGGATAAATTTGAGAGTTATCAAAGTATTAAAGGTATAGTTCACCCTAAAATCAAAATTTTGTCATCATTTACTCGCCCTCATGTCATTCCAAACCTTTATATGTTGAATAATCAAAAGGAGAATTTTTAAAGAATATTCTGGCAAATCAGTGAGGACTGATTTTTTTTTTGTCCACAATGACAAAATGATATTTTTTTTTTTTTTTCAGCAGTAAAGTCATTTATAATGGTACAAAAGATTTATATTTCAAATAAAAGCTGTTCTTCTGAACTTTCTATTAATCAAATTATCATGAAAAAAAAATTGTATCAGGGTTTCCACAATAATATTAAGCAGCACAACTGTTTTCAACATTGCTAATAATAGAAAGTTTCTGGAGCACCAAATCAGCATGAATGATTTCTGCATAATCATAAAGGATTCTGAGGAAGAAGACTGTAGCAGTAAAAATTCATTTCCATCACAGGAATAAATTCAAATTTAAAATATATTCAAATAGAATGTATTTTGATCAAATACTGTAAATGCAACAATGGTGAGCATAAGAGATTCTTTCAAACACATTCAATTTTTTTTTTTTTTACCAAAAATCTTAACACCAAACGTTTGAATGGTAGTGTATATATGATATATTAGTAAGTTATATAGACTTATATGAATAAGTCTTATATATGACTTATATGATACTTTTATGGTGCTTTTGCTTCCTTTTGAAGTTAGAAAGCTGTAGTTCAACATTTAATTGTATAGAAAAGAGAGACAAAGTACACTTCTCAAAATTCTCTTTTTGTGTTTCACAGAAGAAAGAAAGTCGTACAGGTTTGGTGCAACCTGGGGGTGTGTAAATGAAAATAAGTTTTATTTTTGTGTGAACTATTACTTTAATAGAAATCTGCAACAAAGCACAGAAAAATGTACAGAATTATTGTGCTTAAAGCAATCTTAGAGTGAAGGCAGACACACAGTAAATCTTAAGACTACTAAGTAAGTGGACAAAATCTGATTCTCACCTGTCCTCTATTTCACTTGTTCTGATTGCGGATACGCAGACACCGTCTCTTCAGCGGAGGCTCCATTTCCATTGGAACGGTTCCTGTTAATGGGGCTGTCAAGCCACAGGGCAAAATGGCAGCGGTTTTGTCAGCAGGTTTGGGCACGGGCTGAATGACACAGCCAAGTTTGGGCATTAGGGGAAGGGCGTAGGCATGGTCCTCACCAGATGGGGCATCTTCAGGGCTCTGAGGTTTGTCCTCCCCTGTTATTGCGGTAATAGCAGACTGGTCATTTGAGCTTTTCTTACCTGCCAAGTCTCTTTCTGTTGTCAAGCAGCTGTTCTCTTTCAGGTCCTCTCCTTCTAGATCGGCCCCCACAGGCTCATCGCACACAGCAGCAGTCCTTCGGCAGGGGTCCACTAGAGGGCGCTGCTCTAACGGAGGTGTTCTGATCAAACTCTCTGCTGGAGGCACATTACAGCTCCCATTAACAATCACATTGCAGGGCGTAGCAGAGCCAGGCTCAGTTTTAGGTGTGGTGGTGTTGCTAGGAACAGTGGAGGTGCTGCATGTGATTGTCTGAGGAAGTGGCGGCGTGCCACTGCAGTAGGATGGGTCTGCACAAGGCAGAGCCACACTAGCCAATGGGCTTTCAGCATTACTGTCTCTGTGGTTATCTTCTATTGTACCTGTGCTAGTACTGGCTGACCGATCCACCTCAGTTTCACCCAAAACTGCATGTGGTGGGCTTAACCCGGGCTCTGCTTTTACCTGCACACAGGTTACAGCCCTCTGGATAACTAGCTGTTGCCGGGAGCGATGACTGGTTGTTAAATCAATGACTCCATCTGCTGGTGTGTCTTTGTGGGAGTGTCCAGAGTTTCCGTTACCAGAGTTTTCCATTTTAACTATGAGCTCCGCCACTTTTGTCCTGCCCTGCTCTGTCTGTTTGGAAAATCCTGGCAAAAGTGTATCTGAGGTGGGAGGGGCTTGTTGAAAGTCCCTCCCCTCCCCTCTGGAGGTGCTTTGAGAAAATGGTGGCGGTGCTTTTGAATCACTCCGCTCGCTCGCAGCCTTCGGAAGCGTTCCATCATTTCCTGGTCGGTCACCAAAAGCCTGTGGATTGAATGGTATGGGCACCGGAATGGGTATGGGGACTGGTAATGGCACAATCACTGGATAGGGCACTAATAATGTTGGTGGTGGCACTAAGGGGGCCAGAGAAGGTATGCCAATATTCATAATGGGCGGAACTGGGATGGGTCCAGCTGGCATCATGTTAACTGCGGGGAAAGGCATGGCTGGCATGTGGCCACCGGGATGAGGGTGCATCATACCCGGAGGGTTCCTAGGAAAGGTTGGGGTGGAGGATGGGTGTATGTGGGGGGAAAGGAGCGGGTGGTGCATAGGGTTTGATGGAGGACCCAAAGTCCGAGGAGGTGGTGGCCCAATGCCAGGAATCATGGGATTGGAATGAGGGCTGTTGGGGCCTGGGGGGCGTAGGAATGGAGGGCGAATCTGCTGCATCATCTGGTGCTCCATAAAGAGAGGGAGAGGGACTGGGCCACGGGGTGTCATCACCATCGGCGGGCTGCCAGGTGGCACACCCAGAGCTGGATGAAAACCTGCTATAGGTGGTGGAGGAGGTGGCGGTAATGCGGGACTTTCGTGTGGCCGTGGTGTGGGGATTTTCGTAGATGATGATGACGAGGATGATGAGGACGAGGAGGAACACACAGTTCCAGTTTCAGATGGTGACCCCGAGGTGGATCCAGAAGGTCCGGCTATATTGGTGGCACCCCCTGGTGAAGGTGCCTTGCGACTGCGAAGCTCGTTTATAGGCGCGCTCCAGGACTCAGGTGTAAGCAGCTGTACACCCCCTGCGTTCTCTGATTTCGTATCACTTCTGGGGAGAGGAGGGTTACATAAACCCCCTGGAAGTGCGGCCTGAGTCTCTTTATAGAAGATGTCCATCTTATACTGGTTCAGACACTTTGCACTGCAGAACTGGAGCCGTCTTTCACCCGCTCCAAAATCCAGGTATTCCTTAGTGTGGCGGATGTGTTTGCACCAATCGCAGACCTGTAACACGAACAAACCCAAAGTGAACAACATAAACTAGAGATTAATACTCCACAATGTCTATATCATGGCATACAAATTCTAATCCAAACACACTCCCTGGACTAAGACATTGTTAAATGAGTATGGCTTTCCTTCTCTAGGACTTAAGAGAGTCTGATGAGAGTGTGTGAAGTATTTTGTGAAGTGTCAGATCTATGTAAGATTAGGGTTTAGGGAATTACAGAATTGGCATTAAATATAACAACCCAAGTGTGAAGAAAAATTTGGTTTATGTCATGAAATATTAAAATCAAATCAAGCTCTCAGATGATGAGAATACAGAAATAATATTGTATAATAAAGATACAATAATAAATATAAAAATCTATATTAAAGATGTATAATGCAATTAAATATTTAAAATAAATATATATGATGATAATGAATATACAAATTGTGTAACAATAAAATAAGAAAAATAATAATAATGCTAAAAGGGGGATTTATTGGGTATTTCTATGATTTTTGTTCTCTAACTCATCCTAATAACATTGGCTTTCTGTATTTTTGACACATACATCCTCACACACACAGACACACTCATTACAAGATGTCAGGAGTCAGCTGCCCAAGGCAAGCTGCAGGGTCAAACTCTGACAGCCACGACTAAAAGGTTTTCCCTTCAAGGGGCAATTATGCATGTGGATTTTGAGTGTGTGTATGTGAGTGTGTATCTGTGGCACTGCAGGTGACACTAACTGAGAAAGACAGTGACAACAGACTGAGACAGACAGGAACAAGGGCCTAAACCTGTGAGACAGAAAACGTGGTTTGTGTTAGACAGAAAGAGTAAGACAGAATAGACATGGAAGGGGAACTCTGGGTAATTAAAGGATATGATGTGTACTGCTAACACAAAGAATAATCTAACAGGGGGGGATAGACAGGCCAAAACATAGAAAGATGAACATTGACATAACTATCCTATAAAAAAGAAATACTACTAAATGATTGAACGCTGCCTCTGTCTCACTCTTTTTCTCTGACACTCTTTCTGCCA